GGCTGGCATGTCAGAAAGGAAACTCGATATGAAGCAATTCACCAGGTGAAGCATTCATTAATTCACTCTCCATTCATTAATGATTTTTATTTCCTTATTAACTTTCATTCTCTCCAATACTATTTCCATTCTAATTCTGGGTGTGTTCAGTATTCTCTCAGACACTCCTTGCAACAGCCTAGCCTCTCATTTCCTGAACCTTGTCTCTTCCAATAATGTGACCTTTGCCCCCACTCATGCCCTCACTCCCATGGTCATACCTAGACTTTGTCTTTACCTTGTCTACACTCCTCCTGTGTACGTAGAATAATGACACCGCCCCTCCCCCCACCCACACACCCAAAGATATCTATGTTCTGATTCCTAGAATCTGTGAATAAGGCGCATTAGATGGCAAAGAGGGATTAAGGTTATTAAGCAGCTGACCTCACAGAGAAAGTATCCTGCATTACCCAGATGGGCCTCAGACAACCACAAGAACTCTTTAATGTGGAAAAGGGCAGTCAAAGAGGATGTCAGAATGATGCTATGTGAGAAGAACGCGACGCACTATTGCCAACTTTGAAGATGAAGAAAGAGGACCACAAGCTGAGGAATGTGGGTGACCTCTGTGGGCTGGAAAAGGCTGAGGTGTGGACTTGCCCCTGGAGCCTCCAGAAAGGAACACAGCCCAGCCAACAGAGTGCCTTCAGCCCATCATTGAGACCCACTTCGGAATGCTGACCTCTAAGAATGATAAAATAATACATTTGTATTGTTTTATTTTTTCAAATATTTATCTATCTATTTGGCTGCATCAGTCTTATTTGCAGTATGTGGGATCTTTGTTACATCATGTGGGACTCTCTAGTTGTGGTGTGAGGGCTTAATTGTCCCATGGCATGTGGGATCTTAGTTACCTGACCAGGGATCAAACCCATGACTCCTGCATTGGCAGGTTGATTCTTAATCACTGAAACGCCAGGGAAGTCCCTCATTTGTATTGTTTTAAGCCAATAAATTGTGATAACCTATGACAGCAGCAATAGGAAACCAGCATATCTTCCTTCTGTTGGCAAATGAAGTCCAGTTTGCCTTCAGGCAACCCACTCTCCTATCTTTACAGTTTACACCCTCTAGTACTCAATTCTAGCAATGCTTTGACCCCACTATATTGATCCTATAACCTATGATCTCACTCCATATGTCCTGCTCCTCCGAGAAAAATCCCAACTCTCATTGAATCCAACCTTCCGACTGTATTGTACTTGAACCTGGGGACTTAGCGTGGGTGGAGAAAAAACACACAACCATCTTTCAGACTCAAGAAGGACCTCTGTGTGCCTGCAAATCCCTAAGAGGATTCTGTGATCCCTTCACTCTCTTGCTCTCCTAGGAGAAAGTTTCACAACCTCTTTTCTCTCTGAAAGTGAAAGTCACTCAGTTGTGTTGACCCTTTGCGACCCCATAGACTATACAGTCCATGGAATTCTCCAGGCCAGAATACTGGCGTGGGTAGCTATTCCTTTCTCCAGGGGATCTTCCCAACTCAGGGATCAAACCCAGGTCTCCCACATTGTAGGTGGATTCTTTACCAACTGAGCTATCAGGGAAACCTCTCTTCTCTGGAATTCATCAGATCCTCTTTCTTCAGATCTCCAAATTCACCCTTTGCTGATTTTGTGTGAATGTGACCTTTCTATTCCAGTGAGAAAGTAGACAGTCAGAAGAGGGCTTCCTCACACCCTACCATCTCACCTACCTACCCACTCATCTACACTGCCTTCTCTCCCATAACTGCAAACCATCTCTAACAGTGTCTATCTAAGCTCTGCCCCTGCAGAGGAACAGAGGACCAGCCCCATTACATCTCTCCAGCTTCTGTTTCCTTTTGTTCCCATAAAGTCACCCTTCATGGGATCCTGTCTTCAGCACCTGAAGAGCCTGCTGTTCACCACCCCCCACCCCAGTATCCTCTTTTGGCCCCATGTCCCCTCTTCTGTTACTGCCATGTTCCTCTTCTCCCATCTTCTCTTGAACTACTTGGGGCAGCCCAGCATTCTCGCCCCTGAAACTGCCCGTGATTATGTAACCAGGGATTCCCCATGGCTGAATCCAGTGGTCAGTTCTTGGTTGCATGGGACTTGGCCTTTCGGCAGCACCTGGCATCACCTTTGGACTGAATTATCAGTAAGTGTTCTGAAACAGTCTCCCAGCTCTGTTTAGCTGCTCTGGGTCTGTTTTCTTTGTCTTTTTTTTTTTTTTGGAGGCTAATTACTTTACATTATTGCAGTGGTTTTTGTCATACATTGAAATGAATTAGCCATGGATTTACATGTATTCCCCATCCCGGTCCCCCCTCCCACCACTCTCTCCACCCGATCCCTCTGGGTCTTCCCAGTGCACCACGCCCGAGGACTTGTCTCATGCACCCAACCTGGGCTGGTGATCTGTTTCACCCTAGATAATATACATGTTTCGATGCTGTTCTCTTGAAACATCCCACCCTCGCCTTCTCCCACAGAGTCCAAAAGTCTGTTCTATACATCTGAGTCTCTAGTTTTGCATATAGGGTTATCGTTACCATCTTTCTATATTCCATATATATGTGTTAGTATACTGTAATGGTCTTTATCTTTCTGGCTTACTTCGCTCTGTATAATGGGCTCCAGTTTCATCCATCTCATTAGAACTGAATCAAATGAATTCTTTTTAATGGCTGAGTAATATTCCATGGTGTATATGTACCACAGCTTCCTCATCCATTCGTCTGCTGATGGGCATCTAGGTTGCTTCCATGTCCTGGCTATTATAAACAGTGCTGTGATGAACATTGGGGTGCACATGTCTCTTTCAGATCTGGTTTCCTCAGTGTGTATGCCCAGATCTGGGTCTGTTTTCTACTCAGCAATCAGAGTGCTCCTGTGTTGTTTTGTTTTCAGTAGATAGGGTCCTGTCACCCCTCGGGTAATAACCAGCCAAAGCATCTCAGCTCATTCCAGATACAAGCCAAGGTCCTGACGTTGGTCCACAGCATGCCATGCAGGGGCTGGTCACTTCCCTGGCCTCACCTGCTGACATTTCTTTCCTGCTCCCTCTGTGCTAGCCTCGGGGTCTTCTTGAGGCTCCTTAGACACACACGATGCCTGTTCCCCTCAGAGACTCTGCCCCTGGAATGTCTGCCTGGAGAGTTCTTCCCCTAGAGCAGCACAACCCTCCCCTTCTTCCTTGAGGTCTCGGCTCACCTTATCACAGTGGCCTCCCCGACACCATCCACAACTAAACAATAACACCCCTGGCTCACCCCTAGCTGCTTTATTCCATGCTATATTTTTTTCATAGCACTTATCACTATCTGAGATTTCACATATCTATGTATATATAATTTAATATTTACATTAAGTTTAGATTTGATAGTTAATAATTTGATTAGTTAATAACCATTTAATATATCTACTATTGTTAAATTATATATAATATTACAGTATATACTATTATATTATAGATTGAAAGTGTTAGTTGCTCAGTTGTGTCTGACTCTTTGTGATCCCATGGAATTCTACAGGCAAGAATACAGGAGTGGGTAGCCATTCCCTTCTCCAGGGGATCTTCCCAACCCAGGGATCGACCTGGGGTCTCCTGCATTGCAGGCAGATTCTTTACCATCTGAACCATGTCATACGTATGTGACATATACATATAAATATATATGTAAAATATATTATTTTTCCTCACTCACAAAACTATAAATACCATCATGACGGGTCTTTGTTTTGTTCCTTGATACAGCTCCAGCATGAAGAAGAGCATCTTATGTGTAGCTAAACAAATCTCTTGACTGAGGGTAAGAATGGATGGATGGACCCCCGTCTAGGTGTAGCCAGTGTGGTCTTAGCCCTCTGCACTGTTTTGGCAGTGAGCAAGCAAGATGAGCTTTTCGTCAGTTTGCACTTCTCAGCTTTAGCTCTTATCAAATATTGATAGGTGTGATCCTGAGAGTGGGTCTACCTGACTAATGTCTTTTTAACCTCAAGAGGCATCTTCTCCAGGGAGGTCCTGGACTCCTGTGATGTCACCACCACCTGGATCTCTTTGTTTTCTTTGGACAATCTTCCCTTAAAAGCATCCTCCTCAGGGGATGAGGGTGAGGAACAGAAGTTAATTATTGATGCTGTTGGAAAACGTTCTGATTTCTGTGAAAACCACTGTCTATTTTTCAGGAAAGTTTTGTACCAAGGGACAGCAGCGCTGCTTCCCCACTGTGGAAGGAACAGCTCAGGTTCAAAACCACCCTTTGAGAGCAGCACTGACCCAATAATCAGTGTATAACTATTGGACTGGCCCAATGCTATTCTGTTGGTTAACTGGAACATGGAAATATTGGGCTTCCCTGGTGACTCAGTTGGTAAAGAATCTGCCTGCAGTGCAGGGGACCTGGGTTCAATCCCTGGGTTGGGAAGATCCCCTGGAGAAGGGAATGGCCACCCACTCCAGTATTCTTGCCTGGAGAATCCATGGACAGAGGAGCCTACCAGGCTATAGTCCATGGGGTCACAAGAGTCCGGACATGACTGAGTGACTAAATAACCACATGGAAATAAACACTCCTAGAAAACTCTTGTTATTAAGTCAGTAAGTTGTGTCCGACTCTTTCGCAACCCCAAGGAGTACAGCCCACCAGGCTTCTCTGTCCATGGGATTTCCCAGGCAAGAATACTGGAGTGGGTTGCCATTTCCTTCTCCAGAGGATCTTCCCAACCGACTTTACCACTGAGCCACCTAGGAAGCCCCTTAGAGAAATGGACGTGTGTAAATTTTTCTCTTCCATTTTCACCTTTACTTTAAAGGTGGTAACAGCAGGCCCCTGTGAAGCCCCCTCCGGCACAGTTCCAGAAGCACAGTGCTTCTCAGAGGATCCGAAGGCTGGACCAAGCAAAGGCTCTTTCAAGTCCCTGCCAAGCAAACCCTCTGCCTTAAATCATTATCATCAATAATCCAAATAGGACCTCGTTTCTGAACAGGGCGTCGATTGAACCATATCCACCTTCACCCATGACCTTGAGGATGAAAGGAGGCATGTGGCTCACTACATCTGCAGCAGAGCAACAAATGTGAGTGGTTAGATCATGACCCTGAGAGTCCAGCTGGCTCTGGTGGCTTGCATGCTTGGGCGAGTTATTTAGACTCTGTGCCGGTAAAATGGGGGAGAAACAGCCCAGAGTCCACTGAGTGACTGAGGCATGTCAGTGGGTGAACATATGAGGTCAGTGCCCAGCACCTCACAGTACTCAGGAGAGCATTGACTCGGGAGTAGCAGGGCCTGGAGGTGTGCGGCCCTGGTTGACCACTTGGGGACCCAGGGCATGGTATTTAAGTATGCCTCAGCTTCTTCACCTGTAAATGGGGACAACTGTATTACTCAAACCATAGAGTTGTTCCAAGGATTAATCTGAAAAATGTGCTTATAACTCGCTGAACTTTGTGATGGGTGCTTGGTCAGTGATGCTGCTGTTTACCCCTGTCTTCATCATCTTTCCCACCTGGGAACCCCCCTCCAACTGCCCACCCCCACTCTCCCACACATCTTCAGAACTGTCCTCAGGTAACAGAGCCCACCCAGGGATGCATGAGGGGAATGCCCATCCCTTCCCTAATACACAGGTGAGAGCCGTTTTAAGTGGGAGCCTGTGGCAAGGACCCTTGAAATGGGAAGAGCGGTAGGACTGGAGTCAGAAGTCCTGACTCTCAATCTTATCGCTTCCATTCACCAGCTGTGTGTCCCCCACCAACCTGCAACCCTCTCTGTGCCTCCCTGTCCTTCCCCATAGAACCAGCTTCCATGAGGACCAGTGAGGGGGTGCTTATCTGAATACGAATGGGAAGGCTGAAGAAGGGAAGGCAAGGTTCCGAGACAGACAGTAACAAGGCCGAGGAGGCCAGCAGAGTGTGGGCGAGTCCAGACCAGGTCCTGCAGTGTTGGGGGTCGGTGTGTGGGGGGGTGCTGCTGCCTGGAAGGGAGGCGCCTCCGGAGGCCTCAAGTCACAGCCCAGGATGAGGTGCAGAGGATGGCTGATGCACACCACCAGGCATCGCTGCGCCATTCCCTTCAGGGAATTCATCTTGTGCCCAGAGCTGTGGGGAAGGGTAGAGGGTTTCCTTCCGGGCACCCTGGGCGCAGAGCTCCAAAGACAGGAGGGCACTCCCTGGGCAGGACCTGGTCGAGCAGCCTAAAGAAAGAGATGAAACTGTGGCTCCTCCCTCCTCCCAGCCATTGATTCATTCACCCAATTCAACTCCACGGTAATTGCCCCAAGACAATGAAAATGTGCCGCTGCCGCGAGCAGCTGCTGAAATGCCTCAGCCTCCCACGCCGCAGGCCTTGCTGGCTGCCCCTCAAAGTCACATTCCTGGCAGGTCCAGGAATCCAGAAAAATCCTCCAGAACCAGCAGGGCCTCAGTCTTCTCCAGTTACCAGCAGGTGGAAGGTGGGGCCGCTCCTGATGGAAATGGTTTGACAGACCTCCTGAGTTCAAGGACGTTTCCCTCTCAGTCGGCAAGGCTGCTATGCTGACTGTTCTTCCCTTGGAGACCTGGTTCTCACGAGGTCAAAGCTGCTGCCCGCAGGGTCTACCAGCCAGGACATTGAGAACCCTCAGAGCCCTCTCCTCCCCTCTGCACTGAGATTCCCAGCTTCCCTTCAGGCACAGAGCTTCCTGGAGCCTTGTGATCTCCTTTTATCCTCCTGAAAATGTCAGGGGTTTCCCTGGTGGTCCAGTAGGTAAGCATCTGCCTGCCAAAGCAGGAGACTCAAGTTCAATCCCTGATCTGGGAAGACCCCATACGTTACAGGGCCTTAAGCCGGTGCGCCGCAACTACTGAAGCCACAAGCTCTAGAGCTCCTGCTCCACAACAAGAGAAGCCACCACACTGCCACTGGAGAGTAGCCAACCAGAGAACCAGAGAAAGCCTGCACGCAGCAACGAAGACCCAGTGCAGCCAAAATTGAAGAAAGAGGAGTTTTATTTTTTTAATTAAAAAAAAAAAACACAAAATGTACTGTCAGCCAGTACAGAGGATGAGATAGTTGGATGGCATCACTGACTCAATGGACATGAGTTTGAGCTAACTCCAAGAGATGGTGAGGGACATGGAAGCCTGGCATGCTGCAGTCCATGGGGTCACAAAGAGTCAGGCATGACTGAGGAACTGAACAACAAGGACGGTCAGCCAGGAGACATGTGGGTTTGGCTCTAGATTTTTACCTGAAAATTATGGAATTGAAATATGAATGCTAATTACAAGTGCCACTGCCCTTGTGAATGAATTAGGGGGTGACTAGTGCTTCATTTCTTTGCCCCCGTCAGTCATCACGGGGGAGAATGCTTTGTCCAGGCTCCATGATATTGATTCTTTTTTTTTTTTCATTTATTTTTATTAGTTGGAGGCTAATTACTTTACAATATTGTAGTGGTTTTTGCCATACATTGACATGAATCAGCCATGGATTTACAAGTGATATTGATTCTTATTTATAGTCTTTAGCCAGGAGGATGGTCGAGTCCCATCCGTCTGCATTACTAGATGGGCCAGCTCTTTCCTTGTCTTTATAGAGTATCAGGGACCAGGTTCACAGGAATTCTGAATTGGGCTAGGCACTGTGGTGATGCATGGAGAATTCTCAATAACCTCTATTTTTAAAAAAAAAGCCCTGCCACGGTGCCTACAACCTATGTATCTCCTTACTGTAAAATGCATGGACCACATGAGCCAATGCTCTGGCACCTCCTCCAGCTCCTTGGTCCCTGTTGCTGCTCCCCCATCCCTGGGCCCCCATACCCTACAGCTCTCTGAGGTTGGCTGTCTTGGGCTCTGCTGGGGGCAGTGCTGCAAGTGCTGGGGGAGGTGATGCTCTTGCATCCCAGCAGCATCCGCACAGGAACAACAGAGAGAGAATCCCCGGAGCCCTGTTCCCTGCACGTCCCCAGCAGGCTTGGCCCCGTGGCTACGATTGGGTACCAGCATCAGCTTCCTTCTCCTCCCTGCCTCACTGCCCATGGGATTACTCCCAGGAAGGCAGCACGTGCCTCAGTCTTGTCTCAGGTGTGCTCCCAGGAGGCTAGCTAACTAGCTAACTAGCTAGCCTGGCCCAGGACAGGCAAGATGGGCTGAGTCGGGTGGGGCTGGGGAGTGAAGAGCCCTGGGAGCCGCAAGCCCTCTGCAGCTTGGCCTCACTCACGCTCCGAATTCACTCCTCACTCACGCTCACTCAGTGCCTGCATTCCCCGTGGCCTGGCCCCCTGGCCCCCATCAACCCACATAGGCTCTGGAAGAAGCATCTCAGCATGTCTCCTTGTGTCTGGGGTGTCCCTCTCTCTGCCTCTCCCCCAAACAGTCCCCCCGCCCCCTCAAGAATATCAGACCCTGGGACACTCCCTTCCTGGAACCCAGCTCACAGGGGCACAAGGGACCAAGAACTTCACACCCGATGCCGCGCTGATGCTAGCTGTATTTGCTTCACTTCTCCAATGAAATCTTCAGGTTCTGAAGAGCTAGAGACCAAGGCAAATGTTTTTTATTTGGTTTTGTTCAGTTTTTGTTATCTTGTATCCCATACTATGTACATACACAGTCCTGGTGAGGCCTATAGTAGGTACATAATCACTCAACATTTCAGCAAGTGTGGATTAAATGTCCACTGTGTTCTAGTTTCTCAGAATATATTTCTCCCAGCTCAAATGCTAATCTGGGCGGGCTTCCCTGGTGGCTCATTGGTAAAGAATCTGCTTTGTAATGCAGGGGACACAGGGTCAATCCCTGGTCTGGGAAGATCCCATATGCCAAGGAGCAACTAAACCACAACTATTGAGCCTGTGCAGTACAGCCTGAGACCCACAGCTGCTGACACCCGTGCCCTCTCCAGCCTGTGCTCCCAACAAGAGAAGCCACCACAGTAAGAAGCCCGTGCACTGCAACTAGAGAGCAGCTCTCACAGCAGTGTTAAGACTCAGAACAGCCAAAAATAGTAAATAGATGTGATTATTTTAAAACGCTAGTGTGGGAGAGTTAACAGAAGTACATAACTAATCACTCGGTACATTAGAAAGTGTCTGCAGATACACAGGAGGGAAAGCAAGGGAGACTGCAGGACTGCCCGGGTGGGAAGCAGGGAAGCTGCCATTCTAAATAGTTTCCAGGGAAAGCAGTGTTGAAAGAGGTTTGGGTTGAGCCACGCCTTGAAGGAAATGAAGGAGCAGGCTCAACAGGAATCTGGAGGAAGACTCTCAGGGGAAGGAGCAGAAAGGGCCAGACCCTGAGATGGGGACGTGCCTGATGCGTTAAAGGGACAGCCAGCTGCTGAGCCTGGAAGAGGCAGGGACAGCAGCAGTGGGAGGCTGAGACACAACACGTGACCCTCGGTCCACCATGGGGACGTGGGCTTTGGCTGTGAGCAAGACGAGGGTGTGAGAAGGTTTGCTCAGACAAGTGATGCCATTGGGTGACAGTCCCATTTTAACAGGACCCCTCAGACTACCGTGCTGACAGTGACCTCTGTGTGGACAAGGGGAGACAGGGGCACAGTGATGAGGGGACTGGCGACCCCGCGGTGGGGATGACGGTGGTTTGCCTGGATATGGTTTGAAGGATTTTCTGTTTTATTGGATACAGGGTGTGTTCACTCCCGTGCCTTGGTTAACATGGAGTCTGTCAGGTTTTCCGCTGGAAAGATGTCACTTTTCCCTTTAGTAATTAATAAGGTATTTGTGGGGAGATATTTTTAGATTATGTAAATCTCTGCCTCAAACTTTCACCACTTCCTTAAGCTTTCATGGATGATCCTCGCCTGAATAAATCATTACTATGAGTGTTGGCAAATGGTGATTTTTCTAAACCTATCATTCATTTTGCATCGATGAGTCAGCACTTGATGGTAAGGAGGGCTTTTCCTCGTCCCGAGATCATTTACTTATGTGAGTGTGGACTCACACCTTCCTGTTTCACTCACTGAGTTATAATCTGTTAATGTCATTATATATCTTGATGATCAAAATATCCCAGATTTGGCCAGTGGGAGCCACTGAAGGTTGGCCCCTGTGTCATTCTGACATTTCTCCACCATTCTCTGAGCACTTTCTTACTTCTAGGCTCTGGCGACCTCACCTGAGTCTGTGTGCTGGGGGCTTTATTATGGCTCCACTCTTTCTGAGATGTGCCCAGGGTATTGTTTACAGTGCTGGAGGCCAGGGGGGTGGGGGGGCCAGTTCTTCTGTGACAGGTGTTCTTTCTTCTCTCATGATTCACCTGACTTCCTGCCCTTCCTGCTGCTGGTTCCAGCAGCGAAGTTCCCACCCAGAAAGCCCCTGCCGCCCCGGTTGGAAGAAGTTCAGGCAGCAGCATGACACAGCACAAGCCTCTACTCTGGGTCAGGCTGAGCCACTGGTGTTCTGGAGAGGAGGTGTGTTCATTGTGGCTCCTGTGTGTGCCCCCTCAGGCCCCTTTCTAGACTGCATTTACTCCCTGGGCATCCTGCAACCAATCGCTTTACCTGGCGACACCCATCCCCTAGCCCAAGTTTCCCTTGTGCCTGTATTTCTGTCCTGTAACCCGTCCAAGTGTTTCTGCTCACCCGGGACTGTGGCCCTGATCGCCCGCCTCTCCAGTTCTCAGGATGTGGTGGAGCCTGGTTCATGGCGGGGTTGGAGGGGGGGCTAACAATTCAGGTTTCTTTCTCCCCTGCAGCCCTAACTGCTTCCTCCTGCAGCCTTTCTTCCCCTGGGACCCCTGGATACCTGCCCTGGTCCGATGGTCAGCCCAGGCTCTGACTCCAGTCCCGTTTCCTGGAATGGCTTACACACCACATCCTGTTCTTGGCAATTATAAAATCTAAGGTGACTGCATTTCTCCAAACTTCCTCAAATGTCTCCCTCATCAGTTATTCCTTGATGGTCATCCTTAAGCTCTGAGCAATCACTGACCTCTCTGTCAGCTCACTCTGCAGCTATGCTCTTGTGGGAAAAAAAAAAAACAACAACTGCTTTTTACAAGCTCCACAAATGTTTCCTGATTTCATCAACGAATAAGGCGCACGATCTCTGGCACACTTTTGCTGTCTGGAACTCCAATTCTTTGAAAATTTGTTCTGATGGTCATGCCAAATTTATTTTCCAGAACACTCAATTAGTTCAACAATGTCTATCAACCATTACTTAACCATCGCTTGTTGGCAGATTTCTGTGTTATTATCTTCAGCAAATAGTTTACAAATTAGAGGATCCCAGAGGAGAGACCTGGGCACCTCTTCATCAGTGGCAGGTAAAGGTAACATCCGGGGTGGTGTCACGTATAGACAGACCTTGATAAACTCAGGATGATGATGCTGGTAAACAGAAAGGGAAAGCCCCATACAACTCCTGGTCTCTGCACTCACCAGCTGCAGAGTCTTGCTCCGTTATAAAAGCACCTTCCTACAGCCACAAAGTCAAATGCACATTTCAGAGAGAACTAGGGCTGGGTGCTACCAGCAGTGAAACTGACAAACAAAATGTTACACCCTTTAAGGTAAACAGGTTCTAAGTGGAGACCTGGCCTCTGGAGGCCAGTTGCTGCAGGAAATCTTATTCACAGTGAACAATACCTAACAGACAATAAAAAGAAGGAAGAAACCGGGAAGGGGGTGGGGTGGACATGGTTTCCTCTGTGCCTTTCAGCCAGGAGAGGTTCATTTTCTCTCTGGTGATGACTGCCTTGCGGTAAATCTGCTTAGTGCTAAGGAAGCCCTCAAATGACACAGCAGGTTTGCGAGCAAGTGGGTGACAGCGAATCAAACATTAGGATGATGGGTAGCTTCTGGACAGGTGCTTACGTGGCTGTTATTCAGTCTCTTGGGGGGAGGTGGGGTGTGGGAGGAGGGGGGTGGCGCTGCATTTGTGCCTTTAGGGGAGGGCTCAGCCAGAGAGGGAGCACAGGACGGCCAGTCACCTTTCATCGGGCTGATTAGCCGGGGACCTCGAGGGGGAAGCGCCAGTCAGTGAAGACCTCCGAAACTGTTGGAGCCATTCAGGGCCAATGCCATGCGACTACTGTCACCTGAACCTTTTCCTCCTGCTCTGTCATTACCTTCTCCCCGAGGGACAAGCTTGCGAGGCCCAGAGCCTGGTTGAAAAAAGGTTTACAAATATTTTTTTAATTTTTAATTTTTTTGGTTGCACCATGCAGCATGCAGGATGTTAATTCCTCAACCAGGGATCAAATCTGTAGCCCCTGCACTGGAAGCACAGAGTCTTGACCCCTGGACTGACGGGAAAGTCCCCTCAACTTTTTTTTTAGTGAAAAAAATGTTGGTCACTGACACCCTTTTCACCTTTCAAAGAGGGGTGGGGCCAGGGACTCAGGGGTCAGTCTGGCATCTGATAACCTGCTGGCAGCAGCATCCAACCACCCTACCATCCGTCTCCCTACCCAGCCCCCACCCCAACCACCACCCTCCACCCAGGAGTTGCTGCCAAAGCCCCCTGGTTCTGCAGTTTGTTCACAGGCTGAGTCCAACTGTGACAGACTGTCAGGTGGAGGTGGGGAGTGTCGATGGTTTCCCTAACGGTGGGAGCAGGCGTCCTTCCTGACAAACTGCCCAGCCCTGACCTCTCCCTCTGTGGGACGAAGGTGAATATAGCTACTTCATATGGTTGTCGTGAACACAGAAATCCTGAATACTCATAAATGCAGGTGTCAAGCGAGTGTATGCTCCTCGGTTCTTTGTCTCGTCACAACAAAGATTTGGAGTGACGGACATTAAAGCCCCCTTGGCGGGTCACAGCTCTCAGAGAACAGACCATGTCATAGCTCTCAGGTCTCGAACGGACCGTGTTATAGCTCTTAAATAAATCAGTGTTACCGCTCAGTGTTACAGCTCTATTTTATTTAGATAATAGCAGGAAAATCCATCTTTGAGGCCTGAGGGCCCATCGACCCAAAGACGTGAAGAGAAGAGCGCCCCATCGCGCGGGAGAGAGAGGGAGCAAAAAACGGGAGAAGAGTACTTTGGCTCCTCTTTTTATATATTTCTGTCCCTGGGCCTGTCTTATGTAAATTGGGCCGGCCAGGAGTGTTGTTTTACCTGAGGTTCTCACTCTGGTCCTCAGACCTTCCTTTGTTCTATTTTTGCAGGCTTTTCCCTTCCAGGTCTTTTAGCCACTGCCATTCTGTTCTCCTTTTTCCCTATTCTACCTAACACAGGTAAATGCTCAATAAATGTTTACTGTTAGCAGTGGCTGTGGCAGGGGTTGATCCTCACTCAGGTGGAAATCAGTCATTCTAGTGTACCTCTGACCCCTGGGGAGTTAAGTCAAATATAGTAAGTTCCCGAGAGATGAATGAGTTCTCCATTCCAAGAGCATGTTTCTAAGTCCAATTTGCTTGTAAGTCCAACAAAGTTAGCCGCAGGCGCCCAACTAACACAATTGGCCGTATAGTACGGGGTTGTAACAGGTTTGTGACACTTTTCACACAGATAATAACATAAAAAAACACAAAAACAAACACAAAGAAAACATTTTTAATCTTCCAGTGCAGTACCTCGAAAAGTACAGCCTCGAGTACGACAGCTGGCACACAGGCATCGAGGGAACAGGCAAGAAGAGTTCCTGACTGGCGGAGGGAGAGGAGGTGGGAGATGGCAAAGCTGAAGGATCGTCAGCAATAGGAGATGGAGGGTAAGTTGCCATTTCTCTCATGTCGGATGTGGATGGCACAGGTTCTGATTCTGTGCTGGATTCAGTTCTATCTGCTCTTTTGAAAAAAATGATCCAGTGATGTCTGGGTAGATCTTGGGCTTGAAATAAAGGTACTCTGCTATATCCAGTACTGTACAGTAAAGCTCACAGAAGCGCAACCACTTGTAGCGGATGCACATGGGTGACAACAGGTGCCAGACACGGGAACTAACAACGCGACTGGACATGTGAACACATGTTTGCCATCTTTGAAAGTTTACTACTTGAAGGTTTGTATATAGGGGACCTACTGTATGGAAAATTCACTGATACTCAAGCTACTTACGGAGAAGGCAATGACAACCCACTCCAGTACTCTTGCCTGAAAAATCCCATGGACGGAGGAGCCTGGTAGGCTGCAGTCCATGGGGTCGCTAAGAGTCGGACACGACTGAGCCACTTCACTTTCACTTTTCACTTTCACGCATTGGAGAAGGAAATGGCAACTCACTCCAGTATTCTTGTCTGGAGAATCCCAGGGACAGAGGAGCCTGGTGGGCTGCTGTCTATGGGGTCACACAGAGTCGGACACGACTGAAGCGATTTAGCAGCAGCAGCAAGCTACTTAACGAGCATTGTCTTTTATTCTCAAGGGTAAGGGCTAAGGGCTATGGTTTTTCCAGTAGTCATGGAGTTGTACCATAAAGAAGGCTGAGTGCTGAAGAACTGATGCTTTCAAATTGTGAGGCTGGAGAAGACTCTGGAGAGTCCCTTGGACTACAAGGAGATCAAACCAGCCAATCCTAAATGAAATCAACCATGAACATTCATTAAAAGGACTGATGCTGTAGCGGAAACTCCAACACTTTGGCCACCTGATGCAAATAACTGACTCATTGGGAAAGACCCTGGTGCTGGGAAAGACTGAAGGTGGGAGGAGAAGGGGATGACAGAGGACATCGAGATGGTTGGATGGCATAACCAACTCAATGGACATGAGTTTGAGCAAACTCCGGGAGATGGAGAAGGACAGGGAAGCCTGGCATGCTGCAGTCCATGGTCGCAAAGAGTCGGACACAACTTAGCTAATGAACAACAACAAGGGCTAAGAAGACACTTTCCCTACAGAAAAATATTGTGATCTTTCCAAAGAGAAAAATCTATGGTTCCTCTTCTGCCAGCCCCAGAGTTTTTGTCAAAATTCTACCTCACTGAGCCCATGTACAATGGGGAGACCTCAGAGACTGGAGAGATCAGGCATGTCACCTGTGGATGTGTTACCATTAGGAAATTAAAGGAGACTCTTTTAACAAGAGAATTTTCAGCAAACATTGAAACAATACTCAGAGTACTGAGTTGAATTTATTCAACAATATTAGTTTTCTTCGGAAAAAAAAAAGAATATTAGTTTTCTTTGAATGCTACCCTTGGCGCATGGCAGAGAATCAGATCTCATTTTAAGACAGCTCATGATTTTCCTGGGGGAGCTAGAATGCAGAGTAAGTCCCTTGAAATGGGAACACTGCCCAGATGAAAGACCAGTGATAGCACCATGTGGAAGTAACCTAAGTGCCCACTGACAGATAAACGGATAAAGATGTAGTACATACGTACAATGGAATACTACTCAGCCACAAAATAGAATGAACTAATGCCATGTGCAACATGGATGGACCTGGAGATTATCAGACTAAGTGAAGTAAGTCAGACAAAGATAAATATAATATGATATTGTTTACATGCAGAATCTAAAAAAAAAATGATACAAATGAAATTATTTACAAAATAGAAACAGACTCACAGACTCAGAGAACAAACAGTTACAGAGGGATAGATTGGGAGTTTGAGATTGATATGTACACACTGCTATATTTAAAACAGATAACCAATAAGGACATACTATACAGAGCAGGGAACTCTGCTCAGTACTCTGTAATAGCCTAAATGGTAAAATAATTTGAAAAAGAATAGATACAAGTATATGTATAACTGAATCACTTTGCTCTACACCTGAAACTAACATAACACTGCTCGTCCAATACTATATTCCAATATAAACTTAAATTAAAAATTAGAAACACACACAGACACACGCACATAATGACGGCTAGTCCTGCCCTGTCATGTCCTCTCCACTAAAGTCAAAACGAACCTCCAGTTTGTCCATAAGGAAGGCAGGGCTGGGGTTTCCCAGGCGGTGCTAGTGGTAAAGAACCCACCTGCCTATGCAAGAGATAAAGAGACACAGGTTTGATCCCTGGGTCAGGAAGATCTGCAGGAGAAAGGCATGCAACGCACTCCAGTATTCTTGCCTAGATAATCCCATGGACAGAGGAGTCTGGAGGGCTACAGTTCACAGTGTCTCAGAAAGTCGAACATGAAGGAAGCAACTTAGCACACATACAGACAAGGCAGGGCCGAGAGTCAACAGCCGCTGTGATTTGTCTCTGCAACAACTGGGGAGCACATTTCAGAACATTACATATCCTTTTCATAAAGTTCCACAATGAGTGAGACTACACAGTACATTGGTTTTTGGTGGTGGTGGTTTTTTATTCTTTTTTTTTTTTTTGGTTTATTTGTTGTTTGTTTTGTTTTTTTACTTTCAGATAAGATTGTTTTTCTAATTTAGAGAGCACATTTCTAATCCATGTTTTATAAGTAGATGGTTTCTGAAAACTCAGCTCAAATGTCTTCAACTTCTAATGGATTTTCACTGTCCTTTGACCATTTCTATGACAGAGTGCTCCGAAAATTTACAATGTATTTTATTTTTTAAGTTTTCTATTGGAATACAATTACTTTTACAGTGTTATGTTTGTTTCTGCTGGACAAAGAAGTGAATCAGCCATACCCATACATATATCCCCCCTCCCTGGTGGGCCTCCTCCCCCCAGCCCCCACCTCACCCCTCGGGTCATCACAGGGCACTGAGCTGAGCTCCCTGTGCTTACAGCAGCTTCCCACGAGCACCTGTTTTACACATGGCAGTGTATGTGTATGTCAATCCTAATCTCGCTGTTTGTCCCACCCTCCCCTTCCCTGCTGTGTCCACATGTCCATTCTCCATGACTGCATCTCTGTTCTTGCCTTGGAAAGAGGTTCACCTGTACCATTTTTCTAGATTTCACATATATGTTTTAACCTACAATATTTGTTTTTTTCTTTCTGACTTACTTCACTCTGTGTGACAGACTCTAGGTCCATTTACATCTCTACAAATGAACCTGTCTCATTTTAGTGGCTGAGTAATAATCCATCGTATACATACACCGTATTTTCTTTTTCTATTCATCTGTTGTTGGACATTTAGGTTGTCTCCATGTTCTGGCTATTGTAAATAGTGCTGCAATGAATATAGGGATACACGTGTCTTTTTGAATTGTAGTTTTTTCAGGGTATATGCCCAGGAGTGGGATTACTGGGTCATACAGTAGTTCTGGGCTTCCCAGGTGGTAGCGTAGTAAAGAATCTGCCTGCCAGTGCAGGAGATGCAAGAGATGTAGTTTCAATCCCTGGATTGGGAAGATCCCCTGGAGTAGAAGATGGCAACTGGCTCCAGTACTCTTGCCTGGAAAAGTCCATGGACAGAGGAGCCTGGTGGGCTACAGTCCATGGGGTCACAAAGAGTCAGACATGACTGAGCAGACACCCACCCCCAACACACACTCCCCACACACAGTAGTTCTAGGTTTAGTTTTTTAAGTAACCTCCATACTGTTCTCCTCAGTGGCTCTGTCAATTTACATTCCCACTAACACTGTAAGAGGGTTCCCTTTTCTCCACACTCTTTCCAGCATTTATTGCTTGTAAACTTTTTGATGATGGTCATTCTGACTGGTATGAGGTGATACTTCGTTGTAGTTTTGATTTGCATTTTTCTAATAATTAGTGGTGTTGAACATCTTTTCATGTGCCTCTTGGTCGCCTGTATGTCCTCCTTGGAGAGATGTTTATTTAGATCATCTGCCCATTTTTTGATTGGGTTGTTTGTTTTTTTTATATATATTGAGCTCCATGAGCTGCTTGTATGTTTTGGAGATTAATCCTTTGTCTGATGCTTAATTTGCAAATATTTTCTCCCATTCTGAGGATTATATAAAAGAATGAAATTAGAACACCACCTAACACTATACACAAAAATAAACTCAAAATGGATTAAAGACCTAAATGTAAGACAAGGCACAAACTCTTACAGGAAAACATAGGAAAAAAACACTCTTTGACATAAACCACAGCAAGATCTTTTTGACCCACCTCCTACGGTAGTGAAAATAAAAACAAAAATCAGCAAAGGAAACCATTAACAAGACAAAAAATACATTCTTCAAACATATGAAGGCACTTGATAAAACTACAAACTAAAATGTCAAGAGAAGAATTACCATAAAATTCAGGATAGTGATGATTTGGGTGGGTGAGGAAGTAAGGGGATAAGATGGGAGAACAGAACACAAGCAAGTTATAAATAACAGTTTGGCAGTGCATTCACAGGTGTCCCAAGAAATTAAGAAGAGAACATATCTTAACTGAATTCTATTAACATTAACTATGTCTTACGAATTCCTAATTTAGAGAGAATTACTACAAAGTATTTTTTTTCGATTTTCTTAATTTGATTGCCTTCCAGACTTATAGAATAACTGTTAAGAAACAGATCCTTTATAAAAGAGAAGATTCTAATTCTGGAAAATAGCTAACTGGGATGTATAGTTTCATCTTGCTTGACTTATGAATGCTGGTATTGATCTCTAAATGGAATTTTCAAACCAGTGACTTTTGTAAAAATATGATGGAAAGAACTAGGACATAAAGAGCAGGAGGGGGAGAAAGGAAAGATGATGGACAGAACAAACTCGAACAATAACTTTAACAGGCTCTATCATTCCCTATAAATCAACAAATCACTTTCCCACTTTCCCCGGCTGCAGTAGAATCTGGAACCATTCTGCTCATTTCGGAGCTGGTTATAAGAGCTCGGACTGGTGCCATGTTATGCATTTGGAAGAATGATTGCATTATAAACCCCATTCCAAGCTTCCCACTGTTCCAACAATGGCAACAGTGAAGAACGTCTGAGCCATTTTAAAATGTGAAAATATAGCTCCCATATCACTGAGGCTTCCCCACTCAAACATTCCCCTAAATAAGGGCACCTGCCTAATTGAGTTCTGAAGTTAGGTAAGAAATAATCATTCCTTTTAAAAATTTTTATTTATTTATTTTTGGCTGTGCTGGGTCTCCACTGCTGGGCTTTTTTCTCTAGTTTCGGTGTTCGGGCTTCTCATTATAGTGGCTTCTCTCGTTGCAGAGTACGGGCTCTAGCGTGCACAGGCTTCAGGAGTTTTAGCATGTGGTTTCAGTAGCTGAAGGGCTCCCAGGTTCTAGAGCTCAGGCTCAATAGTGTGGTG